GCGGGAGCGGCAACAGAGTCTTACCTAGCCCCTTACACAAACCAGAACGTGCTGGCGCGTTTCCTGGGGTCAGCTTTCGCGCATGCGCAGTGAGTGTGGCCACACCCACCGTATCGAGCTCTACCACATGAAGAGCTTTGCATCTAATAAGGGAAAGAGCGTGGGGCTGCACTTCATCCAGATACGGCTCGAAATCACTCTGCGATACTATTCCCAAGCCTGCAACTGAGGCGTTCAGTGAGCGCGTGTTTCCAACAGCAGGGACCACCATAACATACCGACAAGATATCCTCAAGCGAGGTCGTGTGGAACAGCTCGTGTTACGACATGACAATTTGTAGTCCATCCGTAGAAGTCACTAATTAAAGTTAGAGGAGATGAGATTTCGTTTCTTTCAGTGTCCCACAAAGTATTTTGTATTCGATATTGGATATTTTAGCCACTATCGACACTATCCAATTCTAATTCAATCCGAGATGATTTCACTATTCCGACACCCTATGAAGGATCCTTGTGGTGCCCCCCCCCCCCCACCTGTTTTTCTTTCTAACGTAGCTGAAAAGACGTTTATAAACGCGTTACAATTCAACGTCGGCGAACGATCCTTGTGACAAAGTGGGAAGTGCGCCTGGACAAAATGCTGGCCAATCGTCGGTATGAAGTTCACAGAGAGGCTAAGAAAACGTCTTAAATCGAAATCACTGGCCAATGACGCTACGAAGGATTTGCCAGAAGGTGTAACGGCTGCTGCCATCATTTGCATTGAGTAGTTCAAGGCTGTATAGGAAAGATAGCCGACTGACATTAAGTTCAATGTTACTGAATCTGTTTATCGAAGAACATTCGCGGCGATCATGCGCGCAAAACTTGCTATATTTTCTAGTTCCCTACATCTTCACAAAGCTACGGCAATTCTTGGTTTTACTTATGAACAAGCTAGGATATCCCGATGCGAACACAAACCCCGACAACAAACAGTTACGTTGAAGCAAGTATTTATGCCTGTGTGTGCAGCAGCCGGTATGAAAAAGGCACAGCTGCTTACGGGCTACTGGTTATATATTTTTTTTAACGCGAAGCGGTTTATGGCGGCGTTAAATCCGGTAGTGTGCCGCGTGACTACTTTTACCGCGCACGCGCCAACTCTCCCCTCTCCTCGCAAGAGCGCGAGAAGGTGAGGAGGAGGTGGCAGAGCGCTGCCTCCACTTCGCTTCTCTCTCCCGTTTAACTTTCCGCCACAGCTGTGCGCTCGTGTAGATATAATGCCGCGCGCGCTCGCTTTACTGCACTACCCTAGCAGCGCTGTGTGTTCACTTTGCGGTATCCACACAGTATTACACACAAATGAGAGGGGGGTAACATAAGCGGTGCTCAATATACAGGGTGTCCCAATTAACTTGAGCCAAGAATTTGAAAATGAAGGGCACTTAGGTGGCGAATTGAACCAAACGCATACTACTCGCACTAGCATGTAGGTACTCAGGCTATTTTTTTTATTTCTCCCCATACTAAATATTTATTATTCTTAATTACCTATTTTGCTTACATTATGGACTCGAAACTCAAAGCATCAAAACTGACATGTAGAGCACTTTCAGAAACCACCGACTAAACTGTTTCCTGCACGATACGTCCCGCGCTGTTATTTTTTCCACGTTGTAAAGAAAGCCCGCCAAATGTGAAAAGAAGCCGTGTGACAGACCGTGAACGCACTGCTATAGTGCTGCTATAGGCTCTTTTTACAACGCGGAAAAAAATAACAGCGCTAGACGTATCGTACAGGAAACAATTTTGTCAGTGGTTCCTAAAGTGCTCTACATCTCAGTGTTTACAGTTCGAGTTTCATGCTTATAATTTAAAAGAATAGGTAACTAAGAATTATTAATTATTACTATGGGAAAAATAAAGAATAGCCCGAGTACCTACAGGCTAGTGCGAGTAGTACACGTTCCGTTCAATTCGCAACTGAAGTGTCTTTCATTTGCAAATTCTTGGCTCAAGCTATGTGGGACACCCTGTACACACAAGCCCACACACAAACAAAACAGACACGAAAACATAGCAATGGACACACAAGTGAGCACTAGCGCTGCTTCACATCCGCGCATGGGATACTTTAGTGAGAGATGGCATTTTTTTTTTCATTTCGTTGGCTCAAGCGTCGCTGTTTTCCGTACGAGTATAGCAATTTGTATTCAAAACGAAAACACTTCCCGCACGCTGCGTGAACCAACGTTACCACGTTTTTTCTTTTTATTTTTAGGGGGGGGGGGGGGCAAACGATACGGGAACAAAGTCGAAGGCCGAAGATACTTCCGCACCGACTCGCCAATGCGTGCACCCGCAAATACGCACCGTGCAAACATTCAAGCGCACGTTCAAATATGCGCCGTGCAAACATTCAAGCCCCATTGCGATGCAAGCACACAGCCGCACACCCGCTCCGCACGTGGCGGGACCTCTATGCCACGCTGGCGCGCGGCAGGGGTCCCGGTACGAGCGTTGCGGCTGTACGGGTAGCACGTGTAAGGGCTCTTAAGCGACAACTTCGCGTTGTTCGGAAAAGCTTGAAACCGTAACACGAAATTCGGTAAATAACAGCGCTCCGCCGCGGTGCTCTAGTGGCTAAGGTACTCGGCTGCTGACCCGCAGGTCACGGGATCGAATCCCGGCTGCGGCGGCTGCATTTCCGATGGAGGCGGAAATGTTGTAGGCCCGCGTGCTCAGATTTGGGTGCACGTTAAAGACCCCATGTGGTCGAAGGTTCCAGAGCCCTCCGCTACGGCGTCTCTCATAATCATATGGTTGTTTTGGGACGTTAAACCCCACGTATCAATCAATCGGTAAATAACAGCGGACGGCGCGGGTACACGTGCGCGGTCTCGTGACAGGAAACTCCAGCGGAAGGACGGCAATATATGCTTATAATGGCAAACGAAAGTTGCAGTTACTGCGTAACTGAGGCAACAGCAGCAGGAGGAGCGAAAGATACCGTCAGTTATACACAATGCGCGAGTAACTTTTTTCGAAAATAAATAAAAAAAGAGCGATGCAGGAAAGCGGTGATGGGGAAATGAAGCGCACGTTTAAAGACTTTGTTGCAGAGTGACCCTCGCTTTTTACCCCTAATCAATTACCACGAATCTGTGCCCGACGAAGGAACGCGCGTACGCGTAAGTTCTTCTTGTTTTCAATTATGCTGTCTGCTTGTAATATTTATTTGCTCATTGCGAGTTGCAAGTAAGTAACGTTTGAAGACTGCCTTAACGAGACCGACAACTAAAGTTTATGGTACCCGTTTTTACTTGCGCAATGGAAAGCTTAACGGTTAGAGCGAGTGAAGCGAGTGAGTGGATCCAGCTACAGTGAACTCTCCCGCAAGTGAACTTCAAGGAACCCAAAGAAATATTTCTAGAAATATTCCCTAGAATTACGAAAAGCATCGGACACAGCAGAAATAAGGTCATACGTGTGCAACAAAGTTTATTTAGAAAACTATTCTGCAAACTTCAGTCGGACTGGTGCTCTTAAAGCACAAGAACCGACAGAGCTGCCCAGAGAGTCTACGTCTCTGTACACTGCCTCTGGCACAGCTTGCTGCTGTTACACCAAACCTCGTGAGTTTCTCATATATTCTACAGCCTCGGCTACTGATAAGGGGATCTGAACCTGCCTCAGCCGTCACAACGTATTTGTCGCGCACTTCTTTCGCTTCCGGTCGAACACTAGAAAAAATTTCCGAATGTGATGGTTCTGCGCAAGTACTGACGAGCGAGTGGCTCATTTTGGTCTCCTGCACGGCCGCTCTGCCTCGGCGGCGCTGCATGCACAAGGCAAGTAGAGTTACTGTACATGCTAGCGAAGGTAGCATAATACGGTAGCATATACAGTAACTCTAAAGACAAGAGATGTTGCATCACCGTCGGTAGATGTACTTTCCGGTAGCGGCTCGCACTGCCTCTATGCCAGTGCTGCAGAACGCTAAATTAAATTGATCTCGAATACCATCCGAGGTACGCAGATAAAGTTCGTTAAACCAGAATATTTATTATTCAGAAATTCTTTTAACAAAAAGATGTTTGCATAGAAAAGCCGCCGGGGATTTCCTAAATGATGGTTATTCTTAAATATTCATTAAACCTGCGAAGCGAGAGTGCACTGCGTACTGGGTACGAGCAGGCTACAGTGCAAGCATAACAGCGAGTTCAACAATAATTAGAAAACAATTGAAAATAACGCCGCTGAAAACATTGTTGGTGACGCTGCAGTCTGTCAAACGGATTTGCAAGCAGTGGCGGCACATTCATCGTTTCGCTATATGTTTTGCCCTTTCCCACCCACCCCTTAGATTCCCTTAATATACACCCTCCCAGGTAGAAGCAAACCACTATGTCCCAACCTTTCAACTACGCGCAGTGGTATTGAGCAGTACACACACGCCACACGTGTCTCGAAACCACGTGACAAAACTAGACCCGGCCCGACGACGAAAATTGAAACTCCGGCGGGCATTAGCGAAGATGACCTTTCGAGCGAGACAGGGGCTGACGACATCCGGCCCGGCGTGGAAGTCGCCGTTCGCAATGCTGCTCTTTCGAAGCTGCGGTCGCCTTGCTCAACATTCTTTGGTCTTCTTTCTATCTAGCCCCTTAAGGGTATTGTCCGGCTACACATGAATATATATATATATATATTGGGGGGGGGGGGGGGGTAGAATACTTGTAACAATGATTATACTAGAGTGTTCCGGAAATTTTGACGACCTGGTGTTCCTTAACGCGGTGCACCGATATCGCACAGCGCACTCGGGTCCCAGCCACTTCACCCGAATAAAAATGCGACTGCTGCAGCCGGTACTTCGGGTCAGCAGCCAAGCACCGCCACTTTTCCACCCAGCCGGACACGGGAATGAGTTTATACAACTCGGGTCGTATAGCCCACCCACAGCGTGCATCCCCTTGCGTACATATAGGAGTGTTACAATAAGCGGCGCAGCTCACTTGATTCTCGCTGCTGCACTCCTTCCGTCCTCGTCCTCCAGCTTGCTCACCAGGCACGGCTTGAGCTTGGCGCCACCGCTGCCGGAGAAGCTGCATGCATGGTGGGAAAAAGAGACACTGAGACATGTGGCAAACACAAACTGAAAACACTGGATGAGAATTACGCATTGTCGGCTGAATGTGAGGATTCTCGTATTCACATTAAGAGGCACGAAATCACATTCAACACTGATCTTCACATTTACTGGCACATTCGGTGGCACTGATGCGCGCTTCCTGTATACGGTAACACGTATCAGTGCCACTTCTCATCTGTTTGACACATACAAAGCCAAGCTCTGCGCATTATTTCGAACTTTAGCCGTAGTAACATTAATATCCTACCCACTAAGAAACTAGCGATTCATACGCACTCAGCCTAATCACTATAATCTTCAACTTATTCAATCAGGATCTCACGCACCCATGCACGAGTTTATTTCATTGCCTTCCTCGAAAAATAATAACACCACTCGTCTTGCTCAGAAAAAAAATAACTTTTTCCTGCCGAAAGCATTTCAAATTACGGCAAAATGACGGCATCATTCTGTGCTATCAAAATGTGGAATTCTCTCCCTTACCCCACCAAAACGTTGTCATCTTTTACTGCGTTTAAATGTCACCGGTTAGGTCTCTGCCCACGGCAAGTCATGTTTCATCTACTTTTCTTTCTTCACAATTACATTAATATTACCTCATATAATATTTTCTACACTTTCCTCGACATGGCTATCCATTAGATCTCATTAATATTGCGTCTGGCGAAAGTAACTTGCGAGGAGAAGGCGGCGTGCCCTGATCTGGCACCTGGCGGCGTGCGCACTCGTCTCAAGATGGCGACCTCTCCTATTCCGACCCTGCGCCGCGCTCCTTTTACGGCTCCCAGAAGAAAGCGCCTGTGCTCCACTATGCGATATACTACGGTAAAATGAAGTGGTAAAAAGCGGAGGTCTATGCCAGGGCAGCACAGCCAATGCGTTTGCGCAATCACTGCAGGCGACGTTTACTCGGAGAACAAGGTATGCTTGACTGCTATACTGTCTCGAGAAGAGAGAGAGAGAAAAACTGAGTGCCGCAAACTAGAGCAGTGACTTTCCCAAGTTTCTCAGCCAATGCACTGCTAAATTAATTAGGAAAAATATGCAGGTGATAAAATTGTTTTATCCAAAGATTTCGTAACGGCAAAGTTCCTTGTCCACAGCACCCTTTTATTCAAAGGCTTCGAGCACTGGCTGTATTAGCCAGTGTAAAATGACTTCACACACTCTCTTTCACTTGATTCAAAACTTGCCAATAGGAACGCCAACATGAGTGATGAGTCGACGACGTGAAGTAGGCTTATCGAAAACTAAGCTATAGAGCTCTAGCTGACCAGGATAGGCAAATGATTAACAAGTAAGTACTATATAGGTGCCCTTCTCCGGGAACCAATTAAGCTGCCACTAAGCCCCCATCTAGACTTTCATGGGCGATCGGTCACATGCAGGGCTGAACAAGGGCAAAACAAAATCCTATAGTAATCAACTGCAACAAATACCAAAAAAATCTTTTGAGAGACGAGTTACCTCAAGAGAAAGACGCGACCCAATGAATCAGCCAAAAGTGCAGTCTTATCGGCTCCGACATTCATTGTTTAGCCGAGGACTGCGCGAACCCGCGGCTAGACAGCCATTGTGCGACGGTGAACGAGCGGGGGGGAAAAAAAGGTGGGAAATAAAAATACCGATTAGTTCTCCCTTCAGAGTTGATTTTCTTCTAATCTCGTGTTTGTCATTTCCTTCTGCTGGCTCGTCGTAAAGAGCCCAAGACAAAGCCAATCCGCGAAGAATCGGGGGGGGGCGCCCTTTCGTAACCCTCATTTCGTAATCACTTTATTCCTCGCTAATACTCGGCATCGTTCGTCAGAATCGCATACCATACGCATTCTGCGGGCGGTCGGCCACGTGAGCTCAATAAATGGGATGCGGGCATGTCAAGATTGATCATGCACGCTTTGTAGCAAGTCCCGCTTTCAATGTTGTATTTCTGTCCTTGTCTAGGGAATATTTTCGCTTCCGTGTTGCTTCGCACCATCGCATGCGGCAATGTCTGCGCTGACCGATGAGCGATCAGAGTGGCAGTCATACGTATGCAGATCGGAACAAGATATTACATTGATATCAGTCGCAGCCTTGGTTTTCATTTATGTTTTCAGTATAACAATTTTTTTAATAAATGCCTACGGTTGTTACACCAGCGCTGGTCCCGTCTTCATCTTGTTTCGTGACTTGTTCATTTGTGCGCTATACAAAACTAAGCCGAAAAGGACTAAAGTGGGGTATGCGATTCGTCCTTTAGGGGACTAAATGGGCTGGCAAAGATTTTGAACCAATTTTGGACTAACTGCGGGAGCAACTGCAAGGGTTCAACCGTTACTCCTATAGCACATACTCCACTTGGTTCAAATGTCGGTCCAAGTAGAATGCTCCAGTGAAACTAACAGTTGAACCATCTGGACGAATGGCAAAAAAAATGGCAAGCCTTCTTTTGTACAGTATATTTTATGTGTATTTCAATTTATTCAGCACTGAAAAAGGCAGTATATTGGTCATGCAATACACACACACACACACACGCACACATATAATATATATATATATATATATATATATATATATATATATATATATATATATATATATATATAAACACCGCAAACACTGACCGCCCGCGCTACACTACAGCGAACGATCTATCGGATATATATAGCACAGTATTTTGACCTTCCACATAGTGCCAGTGGGCGACTTGTACTCTGCTTAAAAACAATAAACATTCACACCGTAGCGTGAAAATTTACATGAGCTAATTCGTAGCCCCAAAGCGCACCGATCTTTTATTATGGAATCATCTAATCTTAAACATCACTCTAGTCAGAGAACACGAATTATCAGCTGGCATTCGATCATGTCGGCTGAACCAGCGTTTGCTGCACTGGTGCACGAGTCCGCAAACACTAACATAGCAGCGGCGCTCATGCAAGAGTGCCAGTGAAGCAGCCAGGCGCCCCGCCGATGCCACCGGGTCGGCTTGCCAACGGCGTCGCTAGGCTTACGAGGAGTACGGCTAAACGACGACCGACGATCGCAACATGCGGCTCACGTGGAATTTTCGTCGTCGTTATTTTATAGTCACCAATCGGTAAATGTCCCATGTTCGCGGTGTCTTACGCAGTGATGCAGATGTCTGTATACTTACAGCGACGAGACCGTTCACAGGCACGGTTCGTTCATCGTGCTGGTATGCTGTGCACCGCCGGCCGCACGATTTTAGTCGTATCCATGATCGCCTTCACGCTTGGTGTTTCACAACGATTGCCGCATAGAGAAAAAGACATGCTTATCTGAGCTTTAATGGACGATATATTATTTTCTGCGAAAGAAATTGTATGCGACGTTTCCTTCACGTGTGCTGGCACTGCACTCACACCGGCAGCCAGCTTGATACCAATGACGTACGAAGCCTGCTTTTTGTACACACCACTTTCAGGTTGTGACCAGTGACTGTGTGGGTACACGACCGCTGACGAACAGCTTACTTTTATTAGCGGTGTCAGTGTTCTTTGTAGTTCTAACTAATTCAGCACATTAAAGCGAGTTATCCGCATTGCCCGTGTTCGCGGATACTTTCACTTGGTTTCGGCCCGCCCGTGCCGGCAGGTTGGAAACGCGAGGGCGCTTGCTGTGTGCACTGACTGCGCGTTGTACTTGCCTCCCATACATCTTCTATTCGTTTCATAGTGCTTCGCTTTCAAAGTGGCGTATGGCAGACATAACTTGTTTTCGTGATCGCCAACCGTGCCGCAGTTACCCTCCCCGTTGGCCTCTTCATTGCCAGACGTTTGCGCGCGACACGCACTGTCACGCATTTAGTCTCTGTTGGACGAACCGTTCATCCATAGGTTTAACTACTGCAGTTAGTCCAACTTTGTTGAATTTCGGCTTAGAGTGAACGATGGGTGTTAGGATCACAACGCACATGTTTTTATGAGGTAGCAAATTTGGTGGTCCACAAAGTGTGGACATGTACCAAGGAGGTTATATTAAAGCTTCTGGAGTGGCGGAGAGGCTCCGCGGCTGAAGCCGACACCGCCATATTGATCAGGGCAGAAAACGGATGGGCGCAGTTTAGCGTGCGTGGCTTTCGTGTTGATTTAGTGCTAGTAATGTTGCGTATCATGCTTCTAATTGAACAAGACGCTTCTGAACACGTCTGTGATCACATTTTGAGGCGACGGTGTTGGGCTCTTGGGTAGTATTTGGCTGTGCGAATCGTGTGAAGCGGACACTGGGCTCAGCTTTCGATGTTTAAGTAGGCATGCTTCGCTCATTCGCTTATTCTCCCATATTTTAGCGACTATGCGACTGCATTCATAGATTTTCTTTTGGCGTCCGGGGGCACAATGACGCTAAGCATAATTTTTGCAGGCTCTATGTGTTTGTAGGATATATATATATATATATATATATATATATATATATATATATATATATATATATATATATATATATATGTGTGTGTGTGTGTGTGTGTGTGTGTGTGTGTGTCATATCCTTGAGTAAGTTTTTTTTTTCTTTTTATAGTGAAAGGTGTTACGAGATCAGAACATGGGTCATGCGTAGAGCCGTGTCCGCCGCCGCCGCCACTCGTAATTAGTATCGAACAAAAAAAAACTCGGTAAGTTAAGAATATCAATGACACAATGAGAGTCCAACCCGGGTCCGCTGCGTGCCAACCCAGCATTCTACCACTGAGGCGCGCCAGCGCTGGAAATTGTTTCTAAACTGGTTTTAGGCAGGCTTGATGTCTGGAAACGAGTCGCATTAATATGAGTAATAAAGTGTTTTAGACCATCAAGGAACAGCGAGGCGTCACACAATGCGAATTTCGTGACGACTTGGTCGCCCAACGCTCCCATCCATTAAATAACTCGTTCTTGATCACCTATTAACTGTGGTGCATAATCACTTCACGCATATTTCTTCATCGTCATCAGCCACTGCATAAAAAGA